TTAGTATAATATAACACAAGTAAGTCGCACAAATAAAAAGTATCATAATAAATATATAATATATATATATATTCTTATAAAAGGTATTTAAATTTTCAAACTACTTTTTCTAATTAATTTTAAATTTTAAGAAAAAAATTAGCAAGCACCCGTGTAATAGTACTAGTCCTTATTATATATTAATAGATTTATTAAGATACAAAAATTTCATATTCTTTGTAGTTGTTGTTTTGTGATTCACTGTACCTTCGCTTGGGAAGATCTCAACTCACACAGCGGCGCCGGAGAAATGATCGTCTGCCTCGCCGTCGTCGGCCACCAGGTGCGCCGGCGGTCTCCCTGTAAACTATTTCCGTCGGCGATTGTCTCAATCATTTCTACCGCTTCAGTTCTTTAACGTAATCCGCAATTCGTAACAGTATGTTGTTTGTTGCCATTTGCAGAACAATCCTCTGTACATACAGAGCTTTACAGAGGCAGATGACGCGCTCAAGCTCCATCATATAGTTCACTGTTCGCTCGACGTCGTCGAAGAAAGAGGTCAGTTTATTTGTTAGATCTTGTGCAAGACTTTGCCTGTTGAACGGAAACCTAATTCCCAATTTGATTCTGATATGCAATAGTATTCTATTTGCTGCAGCGATTAATATTGTAGTTTCTAAATTGATCTTAACAATGATTTGTGATTTTCTATTTTGATGACATTTCATACACTGTGGTGCATGCAAAATGGGAAATTTTGCAGCTACACCTGATATTATGGCTGAATGGGTTTTTCTTTTGTGTTCATATCAGTGAATAACCCGAAAAAATCGGGCCCGACAATAAACGAGGCGTTTCTTGGTTTGTTATATCCAACTGAAAACTACAAAGTGTGAGTAGAAAGAATCTCTTTTTCTATGATTAATCGTCTTGCTTGTTCTAGCTAAAGCTCGTGATGTTATATTTTTCCAGGTATGGTTACTTGACGAATACCAAGGTGAAGTTTATACTGGTGACAACAGACCTTGATGTCCGAGATGTAGACGTGAGAAATGTAAGTTTTATCAATTTGGGATTGGCCTGAATTATTCCGTTTACTACCTTTTTAACGTTTACTCTATAGAACCGGAGAACACATATGGCCATAATGTGTGTCAATACTTCTATTCAATATGTTCTTATTTTTTGCGTTCTTGTCTAAAGCAATTCTAACTTGAGCGTAACAATTTCACTTTTATGCCCAAATCGGTTGAACTAACCTGTGTGAATTTCGATTGAGAATTCTAAAGCTAAAGTCAGAGTATTGGGAGTTGGAGTCATTTGAAGTTGCGAACGATATGTTGTTTTTCGTAAATAATCTTGTTTCTGTTGAGTATATTCTGGTTTCTATTGATACTCAGATTCCGAACATATCCATTTTCTTGTGTAATGTAAAAGTGCTACTGCAAGTAAAGTCCCCTTGATAGATTTTTATTATTGTCCAATATATGACATCTGATTTTTCTTTCTTCTCCGTACGTATTTTTGGAAAATGGTGCAGTTTTTTAGGAAGTTTCATGCTGCCTATGTTGATGCAGTAACGAACACGTTTCACATTCCGGGTAAAAAGATCATATCCAAAATCTTTGCTGAAAGAGTCAGTTCGATGGTTAAGTCCTTTGGGTTGAATCCAACAAACTGAATGCTGAAAGTCCACTGCCGTTCACTCTATCAACTAAAGCTTTCCATTTTCTTTACTCTGTTTTCCTGAAAATACATTGTAGCTTGATTACGAGTTTATACAGTCAATGCTCCGTTCTTTTCAACGTTCTCTGTAAGATTGTGGAATGTTCATGTGTTTACTCCTTTTAGCAGAAATATTGGCTCACTTTTGTGTTTTGAATCACATACGCTATTTGGACCATCGATTTATTCTGGAATACCAAGTGAAAGATTTACCAAGATTCGGATTCGATGCTGGTTGCTACATTGTAACGAACATTATTGAGGAAGTTACCTGAAAAAATTGTCGTCGTCCATCCAAGAGTGAATTTTGAGACGAGCACAAACAAAAGCTAATCAAGCCTTGACATTTCATTTCTACTATGGCATTTGAGAGATGGTACAAATGAAAACGAGTAAAAAAACTAGGCCAAATTAGAATTTACTTGAGCAAAATTGAAAATGTGCATAAGTTCCCAGCAAAAACCAGGCCAAAGTAGGAGCAAAATTGAAAATGTGCATAAACTCCCGGCATATCCAATGCAGTTGCTTCAATTTCTCAACACACAAAGTTTTAACTCCAAATCTTATGAGCTCATTAGCAACATAATGTCCTGCTCCAACAACAAAACAATCATCCAGGAAGGAAAAATAAAAAAAGTTGACTTGCGCGATTAAAAAAAAAATGACCAACCATAACTAAGATAATAATCGTAATCGCCATCAAAATTCATCGTCATCTTCCTCAGCTATAACCTTAGCAAGCTCCTGCTCCTCCTGTTGCTGCCTTTCCCTCCTCTTCTCCGCACTCTCCTTGTCCTTGTGCGAGTTAGGCGGGAATCTCAGTGCGCGAACGGCCTCATTATGCATGTTCAAACAAAAGGCAATTCTTGAATTTAACACAGCCTGAGGCTCGTTTGTCGAGTAAATGTCACCCGTTTCCTTGGACACCATGGACCCGCTAGCCCGGTCGAGCTTGGCATCAATGGCCCCGTCTCGGATTGCCTTTGACACGATGCATTCAGCGTCTGCAACGGGGCTCGGAGAGTCGAGCCGAAGCTTTGCAGCAATATCGGTGAGTGAGATGCGTGAGTATGAGATGCTGATGTTGCGAAGTCCCGTTCGGATAACGTTGTGCCTCAGCCGAACGATCAAGTTGTTCGTACGGTCGGCCGCGAAAATGCTCGCGTATTTGTCGGCTATCTTCTTGAAAAGCTCGAGATCTCCGACTAGGACAGCCTGAAGGCCCCAAAAAAGAAAACACGTGAATGCCAAATTTGGGGGCAATTTTGTTACCCATGATTGTTTTTTTTTTTGGGGGGGAAAAAAATGCATTTTTAGTCTTGTTTGGTTTAACACCATAGCAAATTTAATCCCAGATCCCCAACTTTTCGCCTTTTTGTCATGTGATTTAATATTCAGCTTGAGGACCGAAATTGCAATAAAATTTTAAATTACATGACATAAATTGCAACAAAATTTTAAATTACAGACTTAATTTGCTAATCGAAAATATGAGTATCTTAAAATTTGTTGTAATTTCAGTCCTTTGCAACAAAATATCAAATCACAGGACGAAAAAGGCAAAATATTAGAATCTTCGGACTAAAATTACTATGGCGTTAAACAAGTAGGACTAAAAATGCAAAATTTAGTTGTAATTCAGTCCTGAAATGATTGAAATTGCAATAAAATATCAGATCACAGGACCAGAAGGCAAAATGTTAAAATCTTGGGACTAAAGTTGCTAAAACGTTAAACCAGCAGACTAAATGCAATTTAGCGCTTTTTTTTTGGGGTATCGAAAACAAAGTTGAAAATGACTCACATTTGTAAGCTCAAAGTACGGTCGGAGGGCCTTTTCCATCCCTTTCTGCATAAAAACGGTTCTCTCAGGAATTTCTCCGAGCAGTAATCGGACAATAACGGCCCACTTGTTGCATTGTATTCGAAAACCGAGAGCCGAAGCAGGTGCTTTACGGGCGGCTTGAAGAAGGGACTCTTTAGCATCAGTGTACTCTAGCTGAATTGTTCGGATTTTTCCGAGGTAGAAGAGGTATCGACAGAACTAAAGGGGGCACAAACAAACATGATGTGAGCAATGAGATCTCAACGGCATTTAACTTTAATAACTAAACTTCGGTCTCGACACGAATAATGCAAAGAAATACCTCAAAATGTAAACTTTAAACTTTAAACTCAAAGCTTGGAAGGATAAAAAAAATCTCAGAGCAGTAAATTGGCACATATTTCCCTTTTCTTCAACAAGGTAAAAATGATGTTTTTCATACTAAGATGACTTCTTTGACATCAGATTGGCATTTTATACTAAGCATATAATTTAACATCGAAAATTTTCAATACTGCCATTTTATTCCTTCTCCATCAGTAATCTCAGTACAACAAGATAACAACAACAGAGTCTTTTAGTCCCAAGCAAGTTGGGGTAGGCATAGAAACCCAAGAGAACCAATGGTAAGAGAAACACAAAAAGGGCTCAAAACAAAAGGAAGAGATTGGAGCAAAAGAGAAGGGAGCAAACGGTTCTGGCACGTTGATTGCTAGCCTCCATATTGAAAAAAACCTACGGTGTATGTGTTATTCCAATCTTCTTTTTCCCACATCAATATACATAATCTATTTTAGGTATTTGCCTAAAAATGATTGTTGATAGACAAACTAATCTTACTTTATAATCAAACATGTTAAACATGTAATGCAATAAAATACACAATCTTAGCAGTAACTGACTTGCCTGCTGGTTCGAGTGAGCTTCAAAACGAGGAGCTTTTGATCTCAATTTCTCTGCTTGATCATATAAGTTGTAATGGAGGTAATTTCTCAACAGCAGATTCAGAAGAGTTTCCTGATTAATATAATAATGCTACAGATCACGACAAAACTACTACAAAGATAGATAATAAATAGATTGTGCAGTTACAAACAAACCTGACCCAACTCATCACGACGTAAAGTCGCAGTCCGGTGCAAAGAAAGTAGAGTTCTGCAAACATATGACAGTTTTTTTGTTACATACAACGTTATTATTTCAAAACAAAACAAAATTATGACTTCATTCCCGCATATATAAGTTGAATCAGAAATTCCGATATCATGGATGCTAAGGTAGTATTGTATATAAATTCAATTAAAAAAGAAAAACCAATCAAAAACTCAAATTTAATTCAAACACATTATCATCAATATTATCAACATAATTAAATAATATCAATTAATCATTATTACACGTCACATCAACTTTAATTCATTGTTCATCCACTCACATAATTTTAACTAACCACCACTTTCAATAATTTTTCTGCTACTATTACGTCAATCAACTTATTATTTTATTTTAAATAATATTTTAATTTGAACTTAAAATTCCCACTAACAACTAACCATACCACATTTTTCAAAATTAAATATGGTTAACAATAAAAAACAAATCAAATCCATATCCAATCCCACACTAAGCAATTCAAACTAACAGAATTACACATACCCTCGTATTTCAGCTAGATTCCCAGTAAGTTCATAGCTCAGTGAATAATAAGAGTACAGCCTTGATGCCATTACATCTATGGTTCTCCTGTTGAGGTTCTTCACACGTGCAATACTCGATGAAGAACAAGCCTTGGCCTGAGAGTAAAGAGAGAATCATTAGACACTGTTAAAATAACATATGCCCTGGTTGAACCTTTAAAAACATAACCCACCTCATTGTATCTCTTTTGGTCAATCAGAAATATTAGCACGAGCAAAGAGCAATAGATCTCAAGCTCCGGTAAGGCATGCTTCGTATGAGCAATATTATCCACCTCCATATTATGCTCATCCCCCTGTAACTATCAGTAATTTAATAAGAAAAGTTAAAGCACTAGTGTATGTAGTTAGCTCTCTATGTGTAACATCACCCTCGAGTTGCACTTCCAAATAATCTTAGTTATGTATGCGGCTAATCATATATACAGTTTGGTTTTGAAAAGATTGAAAAAAAGTAGAGCATGGGGAAAAACATTATTTTCCCATAGATCAGTAAAAAAGCGGAAATATGGGAGAAATAGTCACCCACATTGCAACTATAACAATTAATAACTGGAGGTGACAATATCATGAGTTAAAACCATTTCCAAATGCCCATTTTTTCACCCAAAGAAAACTCTCATAAATTAGATTACTACATCAAGATAAGTTGCTCGGTGCTCGATGATGAATCAGCCCTTGGAAATTGTTACCACAAAAGTTCATACCTTAGGCAAATACGAAGACAAGCGCGAATGAGCCTCGGAGCCAGACACGAGTGCAAAGTTGAGAAATGCAGAAAGCACAGAAGCATTCAGCTTCTTCCTGATTTGAATTGTCCACCGAATTGCCCTAACGATCCTCCTAACCTCCCGGGTGTAAGCTCCCGTTTCAATCATTGCGGCAATGTCTTTCAAATCTAATACGAACAATCAAATAAAGTAGAAAATTGAAATTTCAATTTCTATCCCTTTTTTACAATGCAGAGGAAATCAATCAGGTAAAATGGGTATTCGCCGGAAAACAAAATATAGCTGAAACAGATCTCCTAAATGGGCCTAACCTCACCATTTTCTAATCTAACATAGCTAAATTGTTTATCAAAATTACACGAACTACATAACCAAATTTTGATAAATTTCTTAAAAAATAAATAAATAAATAAATCTAAGCTTCGAATTCTACAACGCAACCAAATCAACTCTACTCACGCTGAATGGTGGATGGCGAAGTGTCGGAGACGGAGTTCGGCGTGCCAGGCTGCTGCTCCTTCATCTCCACGTCCTGAGCCATCGTCGCCAAAGCCTGTAAAATAAACGCAAACACAAAAGACAAATAAAACACAGAAATAAAAACAGGAAACTCCATTTTCGTTCTTCTTTTGACTAAAGCTACGAACAGTGATCCAATTTTAGCTGAACCCAATTGAGAAAAAAGTTATTCTTTGGAGAAGATTAGATCCCACGTATGCGATTACTTTCTTCCGCTGCACGTCAGCAAAAAATGCAATTTTTTTTCGGAAAGTTCAAAAGCATGTGTGCGATTAGAAAGATAAGGAGAGAACATGAGCCAAGAACCTGAAAATCGATGATTTTATCTGGGGTTTTAAAGAAATAAGCCCTTGAATTGAAGGGCTTGATTGATTTGGTGGTTTATTCTCCAAGAAAGCTATAAAGCGAGCAGGTTTGATTAGACTGAGCTGCAGAGCTGCGCAATGAGTTGCAAATCTCAGGACGAAGAGACGATTGGGGCAATATTGTCATTTAGTATATTTCGAGAGAGCTCTTTGAAATCTTCTTTATAAAATGGAGAAAATTGCAAATTTGGTTCCAAACTTTTTATGTTTCCCACATTTGGTCTCAAGCACGTCAACTCTGGTCATTTTTAAATTGTTGTTCCCAAGATGGTACCACTCCGTCAAGACTTTGACAGTCTTCTAGATTAAGACCTTAGTCAATATTTTTAATTTGGAGAAAGTTACAAATTTAGTTCCAAAACTTTTGTTGTTTCCCACATTTGGTCTTAGGAGAATATTATTGGCTACTTCGGGCCCGATTTTCGATCTTTCAAGCATACTTGTTTCTTTGTCGAGTTTGTGGATCACCGTTATAATTTCTCAGAGACGCATACGTGTAGCCCTTAACCGAGGCCGGGTGGCGGAATTCTTGACCTCTCTTATGCTTTCAAAGGTCATAGTGTTCGGTTGACTTATGGATCGATATGCTTTCACTGTACAATCGTTCGTATGGCTTTAATTTGCACTCGAGGATTTTCGGATTATTTTCTCAATTTCCACTGGAAGAATACCACTGGACACACGCTGGTACACCACCGTGTAGTGTACGCGCTTTCTTTTTCTTATTTTTTTTTATTGTTTCTTTCCTTGTGTTACGTGCTTGTTTTTTTTTCTTTTCTTATTTTCATTTATTTTTTTTCAATTTCTTATCGCATGAGCTTGTGCGATTATGTGGTCTACCGTGTAGTGAAATTGTTTTGTTCCTTGTTTGTGGAATTGTTTTGTCCACCGTGTAGTGGATCTGTTTTGTCCCTTGTTTGTTCTCCATTGGTGATCTTGAAACCTTTTTGTCTTGTGTTCAATCTTTGTAATCATGTTATGCTATACACTTGTGGTACGTCTTGATTGATTGTTGATGTTAATGTATTGTATCGTGAAGTATCTTTGTGTGCCGCTTCCTCCGAAAAAATAAATATTGATAAAATGTGAGTTCGCGAGAAAGTACGGATTAGGCTCCTTTTATTTCGATTCACTTCGTGAAATGAGATAATTATCCCGAAAAATCGGTCGAAGAAACTCGAGGAAACCCCTCGAGGCTAAATCTAGATATTCATCGTTCGGAAATCTCGTTTGAAAAAAAAAGCTCACGAAAAAAAAAATAAATAAAAATGAGCTCATGAGAGTTGAAATGATTAGACTCCGTTTGACCCGGTTAGTCTCTTTCGAGATAAATCGAGGGCAATGAGTACGGGAAACTAGACTGGGAGATTCAGGGACAAACTCCGAAGATAAACCTAGGTAATAATCGTCTTAACGACTATCATTTGGAAAAATTTACTCATATATATATAAAAAAAAAAAGAAAAAAGAGAAAAAGAAAAAATAATGCGGAGTTGGCTATGTGGTTTCATTTTTATGTGCTTATTATATGTTAGAGTAGACCATCTATAACTTTTTGCATGTGTATTTGGAAAAAAAGTGAGTTTGAATTGAGTAAATCATGCGTAGAATGAGTCGGGACAGTTTTTTGTTTGTATGGATTCATCTTGTGTGGACTGTGTCTTCGAATTTGATTTTAATTTTGTGGATAACCGAAGGAAGACGAGCGTTTCATTTCGCATGATTATTAATTTTGGACCGTTCGATTTTTCTTCTCGAACTACTTGAGACCAAATGTGGAAAACAACAAAAGTTTTGGGACCAAATTTACAATTTTCTCCAAATTAAAAATAACGACTAACGTTCACTGTGGAAAATCGTTAACTATTGACAGAGTGATACCGTTTTGACAACGAAAATTTAAAAAAAACTAGAATTGACGTGACTGAGACCAAATGTGGAAACAGAAAAAGTTTTGAGACCAAATTTACAATTTCCTCTTATAAAATGTATTTGGAAGTTTATAATCACATAAAGTTTTTCAATAAAGGTTATGAAATGAAAAACAAAAATATTATAAACTCAAAGAATATGTCTATATAGCTCTGTCTCTCTCTCTCTCTCTTAATGTTGTACGCTTATTTTTTTATATATTTGTTATTAAATATATTTTATTTCTCAAATACTTTTTTTTTAAATACCAAATTATTCAATAATTTATTTTAAAATAAATCCACAACTAAGTATCAATTTAAAAATATATAAATAAAGATACATAGATACTTGGATATCGAGATATTAAAAGAAACGAGTCGTTTGTGAGTTTTGATCGACTATTTATTTATCTAACTCAAGCGCATTGAAGCAAACTTGACTCGTTAAAGTTTGAGTTCAACTTGATAATATATCTTTTCATTTTGGTAACTAAGCGAGTCGGCTTGATAAAAAATTGAACTTGAATATCATAAACTCGTTTTGTTCTACTTGTTTATACCTGGACAAAAAATATTTACAAGAACCAAAAAAGGAAGATGCGCTTTCCTTGCTAAATTATGCAGGAAGATGGGCTTCTGTGATGACATTTATATCCATATGCTTATAACAACTTCATATATCGTATGCTTCGTCGTGACTTCTTTCACAAGTGTGAATTTCATGGTAGGAATCTGAAAAAATAATAAATATTTGGTACACCTGTGGGTGAAATTGTTAAAAATAAAGTGTATAATTTAATTTGTTGTAACTACGTTCAATGATTTTAATGTAAAATTAATAATTGTATACAGACGGTTAGTGTGAAAATGGTAACCGCCTAGCCAACAAAAAAACTAGAGCTATAAACGAACCGAACGTTCGCGAACAAAAGCTCGTTCGTTTGTTAATCGAGCCAAGTTCGAACAGAAAATTAGGCTCGTTTAATAATCGAACGAACACGAGCTCGTTCGTAAACGTTCGATTATGTTCGCGAACATTAATTTAATATAGTTTTATTTGATTTTTTATATATTTACATATTATTTTTAATAAAATATCTAAAATTTAATATAATTTTATATATTTTTAACAAATAATCTAAAATATAAAAATATATTTATTTTATTCTTTTATTTTCGAGTTCGAACGAACAAATTTCGTACTAATCAAATATATTTTAAAAAATTATTTATTAAATCATTCGAACACGAACGAACTCGAACTTTGACGAACAATTAAACGAACAAACTCGAACATGATTTTTTGCTCGAAAAATAAACGAACGAGCACGAACATTGTTCGAACGTAAACGAACACGAGCTCAAACAACCCAAGCTCGGTTCGATTCGGTTCGTTTACAGCACTAACAAAAACATCATCTCCTCATCTACTTAGAAAGGCAAATACATCAAATTAATAGTTACTATAATTAATAATCGATTACCTCATTATCAAAGTGATTTATAATTAACACACACATATATATTGCAATTGGTTAATAACCATAAGTTAGCCAGCAAGTAAGGCCACAAATGAATTTTGCAATAAATATTTTCATCAAGTATAATTATGTATAAGTAACTGTATAAATTAATTGAAATTTTTTTATTTAATAATATAATTCCATATAAATAATTATAATTACTTTTGGTGTACAAGATATTGTCCATTTAAATAACTCAACATCAATATTAAATTATTAATTGTTAAAACAAATAACTGCAGGATTTAGTATTATCATATAATGAAAGTGGTAAATATATATACTCAACTCATCAAAACAACCTACAAATAACTTAAGTTTTTGGCATTATCATATTGAGCTCCATTCAGCATAACTTCAATGCCAAATACAGTATATTTACAATTATAATTGGTGGAAACATGTTATCTATTTAAAAATAACTAAAATCACTAAAACAATATCAAATAGAAAGAGCAATTATAGCCCACTACTCTAGGGGTCCTCATATTAGAGAGAAAAAAAAGTGTGAAAAATACTTCCCATTTATGGAAAGTAATTTTTTGATAAACCCACTATTAGACTTGCTAAAAATGGAATGAGTTGTTTAATTATATAATAATTTATTAATTAAAATTTGATATTTATTTATAATTTCAACACTAGTTTAATCCTCGGTGTACTTATTTAAGTGGAGACACAAGTTTTAATTTTTACTTCATATTTATTCTATTTTATACTTAACCTTTGCATTTTTTGAATAGAATAAAAAAATTAAGAGAATGTATATCTAAATATAAATAGATATAAAATGTCTACTTACCAAAACGACATATAAAGTATCTATGTCATATGCTAACCTGATCCTAAAGCAATAATATTTACACAAAATTTCATCATTGGAAGGCTCGTAAATATGCATACGTGTAGTTCATGTAAGTGTTCAGTTTTTCACCAGGCTAAGAAACAAACTATGCATAATATCTGACCCTTTCAAAATGAGGGGTCCATGCAAGAATAAACATTCATTGTTTGATATTTGTTGTTGTATTAATATTTGTTGTTACGAAATTTGTTTATTGTCATTGTTTGATATTTGTTTAATGCTAAAGAGCCAACAACCAATGAGACAACTCTATGTGGGGCTGTCCCACAATATTTTTTAATGTGGGACGGCCCCACATGGAGTTGTCCAATTAGTTGTTGGCTCCATAACGGAGCCAACTGTTGGCACCTTAGCAT